GGTAAATAGAATCCTTTATTCTGTGCGTAAGCAAAGGCGTTATGCCAAAAAAAATCGTCCAAATGGATCCGGGGACGTTGAAAATGGATATCTTCGTTCAAATATTATACTTGACAATTTTAGCTATAACAATACTTGTTTTACTTAGTACAGGGAAGACCAATATCTTTGCAAGAACAGCTGCAAAATGTGTATATGAATGTAAAATGTCATATTTCTTATTTGGCATCTCCATTTCCAGTTTTGAAATTTCACATAGCATTGGCAGAAACTATCACATTGTCTCAACCCTTCTCTTCCTGATTTAAAGAACCTTTCAAAACTTCCTTTTTTCTTCCTAAAGTACTTCTCTTTATGATAGCGCCCGATTTAGTAGTCCATTTGTATATTAACAGATATCTAAAGCTCAAATCAGATATTATTGTCATTAAAAGGGAAGGATGACGACTCCAAGTATTCAAGCAGTATCTGCCTAAGTTGAGGAATACCTCCATGAAGAACCTAAATGATCCTTATTCGTAATTGTGTTACAATGGGGAAAACCACGAAAATCATGGGAGTAGTTTCTTATAGTTGTTGAGCGCTGAATACAGGAAAAACTAAAAATTTTTCATATCGTTAGCGTTCGGTCTCTAATGAGTTACACCAAAAGGAAAACTTATGCAAGCAAACTTATTAACGATTTTATGGTAAATATACAATAGGTATTTGAGTAAGTTTTCTCTGAATTTCATGTTGTAGTGTTTCACTCCTGAATTCATTTAATTTCTTGAATCCTACTGAGACTAGTTAGGGAATTTATCACTGCGTCTGCGAAAGTAACAACAGTTTCAGAAGAAAGTTTAAATAACCTCTTTATTTAAACTTAACAAATCCACGGCGTATGCTTACAGCTTAAATCTCTGCAGCTTATGATTTACAATGCAAAATCGTAAAAAACGTAAGCTCAATTCAAACTAAGTGCAAAAGTGATTCAGCCAGTAGAAAAGCTAACGCCGGGTAACGGAATTCTCAAAGCTGGGCGAGGAACTATCACAACGGCCAGCGTCTCTGGCGAAGCTCTCTGTAACATTCAAGAAATCTATTCTTATTTACATGTACTTCATTTACATCCTGTTAAGAGCTAACGAAAAGTAGTATTGATAGTACAGTTCAAATAAAAGGATAGTGGATTAATTAGAATAAATATTTTATTATGTAATGTACTTAAATCCGAAAATTTCGTGACGCATCCCGTAGAGTTTCGCAACACATTCGTAACGGTTGACAAATACTCACATTAATTTGATGGCTTGGGCATTAATGTAATATAAGTTAATTTAGCCATTAAAACTCAATGACGTCGCGTACGTAATTGACTGCTTAGTACCTTTCGCGGTTACTGCAGTTTTTGTTGGAAGTCTTTGGCATTCTTCTAAATAACCTTGCCATTTCGAAGAAGGTATATAATGCCGATAAAGGAGGTAAAAAACAAAGAAGGTCTATGTAGAAAAATATATTTTGCTTTGTCTTCATCGCAGATCTCACAGACCAATATGTGGTTAAAGAATATTTTCTATTTCGTTACTACAAATCATTTATGCTACATTCCCTACCTACATGCCTACAACTATTCTTTACCGAGTTATATATAAACACTGCCGCTGGTTCATTTAGATATTTTAGACAAATTCTTAGAAAAAGCACTGAGAAGTTTTTTGTAGCATTTTAAAACAGCCGGCTGTCTTAAACGGTTGCTCTTCTTTTTCATTTTTTTTAGTGCAATGTAGCGTTAAAATAAGAAAGTTTTCCTTATGCAGCTTTGTTAAAGGGGGGGGGACTTGAGCATTTTTCATGCGCATCCTTTTTGCCACAGAACAATAAACTTTATCTCTTTAATCTTTTTCATGGACAGTAAACTTCAAGAGTGATTTGCGTTTAGCTCCCCCTTTCGTCTTAGCTATGAGTTTGTGAACCGCCTAAATGTTATTCCTTTACACTGGACCTAAAAAAAAAAAAAAAAAAAAAAAAAAAACTGGAAGGTCAGTAATAAACAAGAAAAGAACGTGATTGTAAAACCAGCAATCAAAGGTATGAATATTCTCATTTTTCGCATTTTACGAACCATGATGCAATATTCTTTCAACAAACACGTTTACTACGGTAAAAGGGTTTTCAGATATTATATAACATTGGTTTGACTCACGATCACAATCATCTAGTTGTACTTAGTATATGTGACCTACCGTAGAAAGAGATTAAAATGTAAATACAAAAATGTATTTTTAATCTGAAGGTCTTCAGATTTAATATTACGCCCAAAGGGGCGTTTTTTAAGCGTTTTGTGCGTTATCTTTATTTACTAATATCATGTTCTTCGCATTTAAACCATAAAATTCAATTCAAAAGCACTAGTTTTTTGAAAGTTTTTTCTTCCGTAGTTTTGCCATTGCTCGCTTTGAAATCGTTCAGTTTGTTAAAAAAGAGGTCCTATCGACCAAATGGATTCAAAAACTGTCAAAGTGGATATACCTTTTGAAATAAGATACCCGAGATTTTTCAAGACTACGATACTTTCTTTACTTCGTACAAGGAAGTAAAAAGGAAAGAAATTTAAACGTAACAGCTTTTGGCGAGTAAACGAACGAAATAAGAGACTGATATATAAGAGATTGACTGAGAAAATAAAGAAGAAAATTTTTATATTATGTGGCTTATTTATTTCTTACAGCATTTTAATAGCGAAAAATTGATGGAAAAAAGGAAAATTAGTCAGATTCTAGCAAAAGAGAACAGAATCTATCTGAAGCGAAGAAAGAAAGAAGACAGGAAAAAAATATTAAAAATTCTGAAAAAGAATGGAATCTACTGCTTAAGTATTAGGAAACTTAATTATAAACGAAAACCTATAGGTTCAATTTTTAAACCTGATCATTCTTATACCGATATTCTTTACTTAGTTTATTACAATTATTACACTTACACACAATTATTATAATTCTACATACAGACTAAGGTTAAGGACGTTCCAAAAGCTTGAAAAAAAATCAAAAAGCTCATTGGGGGAATTATAATTTCTCTTAGTTTTAAAACTACACTGGAAACTACGAAAAATTGAATTCCCATTGAAGTTTTGAAAATATTGCAAGGTTTTACAAAATGCATGAAATTTTAATATAATTTAGTTTAAAGAAATGCTAAAATGATGTCCTTTTCTTCTCCCCGCCCGCCAAGTTTGACCATTGTTTGTGTCGTACGCCAGAAAAGAAAATGCATATGAGATATTACGTGACTGTTAGATTACTTTTTCGGCAATGTTTAAAATTTTCTTATAAATACGCTACGAAAAAATATCTCTCATATTTAATTTCTTGTGAAAATTCATTCCCATTTTTTATTGAATTTATTTATTATTATCCCATTATTATTTTTATATGAATTAGTTGTTCGTATAAAAGTTATATTTAAGTCTTCATACAGTAAAAGTCATAAAAAAGCTTCCAAAAAAATTTTTTGAACATCAAAAAGAAAAACAAATTCTGCAAAAATTATATATCTAAATTAAAATGATTAAGTACCGTTCATTATTTAGAAATATAAAATGCATTTCTTAATTTGCTAATGCATACAAATGGAAGTACTAATAAAATAATCCATATTAATTAATTTTCAGGTTTAAATTAATAAAAATATTATTACTGATTTTTGATATAATTTATTTCAGTACTGTTTAATTCAGTGTATAATAATATAGTATTATAATTTATTATTCATTATAAACAGGCATTTAGGAGAGCCCTTCTAATTTCTTTTAAATTTCTTGACGTTTCTTTCTTAAACGGAGGTAATAATGACGTTTCTTTCAAGTTTTGTTTCTTAAATGACGTAAAATTGCAGAAATTAAAAATAATTGAACTCAAAATTGAAAATAATTGCTCGTTAGTTATTGGAAATGTTACAGAAATTACAGTTATAAATATTTATTACATATGAAATCATTAATGAAAAGATAGTGTGAATATAAATAATTTAATACAATTTTACTTGAAAATTTTTCAGTGAAAACACTGTTAAAGGAATAACAAGTAATGAAAAAAAATTTTTAAAGCCAATTCCTACTTAGGTCAACAAAGAAAAAATTTTAAAATACAAAAAAAAAATTAATATGTGAAAAAACTGTATTAACATGAAGTATCATCCATTACAAGTTTAAGAAATGTATCTGAACTTGAGTGGATGAATAAAAAGTATTTTATTAACGATTGAAAATTAATTAATTAAATAAATTTAAGTTAATTCCTACTTAGTTTACCAAAGAAAAATTTTAAAAGAAAAAAAATTATAAATACAAAAAAAAGTTAAATTAAAAGTTTTAAAAATTTTTAATATGTGAAAAACTGTAGTGGATGTGTAAAAAAATGTATTTGAACTTAAGTGGACGAATAAAAAATATTTCTGTAACGATTGAAAATTTAAACAAGATAGGGAGAGTGTGACTTAATAATGGGAATTTAAAAAAAGGGGGGAAATACAGGATAGAAAAGAAATTAATGTTGCTAAATAAATAAATTTTTCTCTGAATATTTTTAAAATAAAATTTTGCCTCCTCCAATTCCCACAAAAATTATGCACATTTTCAAGCGAATGTTTCCATATCTAAAATTGCACTAATCATCTCCATCCCCCCGTTTTCCTACATAAGATTATAAGAAACGTGGAAGATATTCCGCGGAGTTATTAAAACCCACCACTCGTTCAGCTAATGATGGGAAAGTCTAAAATTTCGAGCCCAAAGTGTGACCGACGGATTGAAAGTTCGATACGACTGCTCATTGGATTTCAGCCGCGTAGCAGTTACGTAATTAAAGTGAAATAGCTTTTTAGCATTATTACCTTTCAATATTTACATGAAAGCTATCGTTAACTTTTCTTTTCTTCAGTGGACTTCAACGCACTGAGGTCATTAAAGCCGCAGGAGACGAAAGTACATTTCGAAAATAATGGAATAAAAACTATCTTACCGGCCGAGACCAAAGAATCATGACTGATGTTTCGTGAGGTCCATTCTCGTTGCCATGGTTATTCTTCTAAAGGCTCCAATCACGCGCTGCTCGTAAATGTGTTCTGCCAACCATAATAACCTGAAAAATAATTTCAACTCGTTAGGAACAAAGCAATTGAACTGATATTTACAAAAAAATACTGCAGCTGCTATTAATATTTAGCACAGATTAATCAGCATAATGTTAGTCATTATTTACGTTGCACACTAAAGTTTCAGCATTTTAATTGCACGTTGGTGGTGAACGCAGCAGCAGATGTCGGTAATGTTCGCAAACAATTGGCAGTGATGAATAAGTACATTTATACAGTTAAAATTCAAAGCAGTAAGATGTCATTAACGAGTATAAATAATGGTTGTATGCTACTGGCAGAGAATGGAAAAGAGATGATGAACACCTTTCGATAACCAAATTATTAAATAAATCATGTTACTCCAAAGTTAAATCTAAAATAAACGATGGATTGCAATTGAAATATTAGCATATAGAAATTTCTTGACTTATTTTGCGTCAATTCAAAAGCGGTCATGGCTAAAAACCAACAGAGCAAAAATTTAAAGCACCCGAACTGTAATTTAAGTACCTAAAAATTATTGCGAATACGTTCGATGCCTTGTATGCTGAATCCTCAAAATTTGTCTTATTTTCTTTGTTTTAAGATTTAAAGGTGTTAAGTAGAATATAAACGTAATGGCTGAATTTCTGAACTAATAGCAAAATACGATGGCTGCGCTAAGAAACGATTGGCGATCTCAAAACTAACTATTCTAATTTTGGTGTTCTCCCCCTACTTCATCTGTTCTCCCAAATTCGAGATCTTTCCACGTTACATAACAACCTTAACTTAACCAATAGCAGTTTTGCTACACTTATGCACCTACTTAGTATAAATACTCTTTGCAAGCAACTACGTCATTCCTTTTCTTAACTTCTGCCCTGCCAACATCTCCACGCTGCTTATGCTTTTCTGTCTAAGATGTGTACATAAAACCCAGTGTTTAAAAGCAGTGTGCATAAAAATTACTGTATTTAATTATGATTGGATAAATGTCTACCAAAATGATTTGATATTTGTGAAAATAAAGATGGAGATATATACCGTTTTGGAAAGGACGGTATAAGTTGGAGAAAAATAAAATAATTTGGTACTTTGGTATTATCACAACCACCTTGGTAGAAGTCGCCCAGTTTTCAGAAGCCGCCGTGGCAACCATGCACACCACATCAATAACTTTAAGTTTGAATAAGCAACGTCGCCATTTTGGTACAAGCTCTTTCGGTTGTATTAGGCAAACTAAACTGCGATATTTCTGGTCTTTAATTATATTTTAAAATACGTGCTTGTGAAATTTGCCTGCAAACGAAGAAAGTACTGTGAAATTTTTGCGGGAACATAATATTTTGCTACAAATGCAGGAATGTTCAGATTCGAATTTGATGATGTTGTATTTTGGAAAACAAAATTTTTTGGAAATGTAACGTGAAAAAGTCTAATGAATATGTCGGCATTCGAAGGGGTAACTAGTTCGAGAATAGTCGTCTGACATTTACTACAGCAGTCCGATTCATATACTACTGGAACAAAAAATTTAGAGTGTTAAATCTTGCTTGGAAAAGTTACAAATGGCCGGTAAGACTGTGGTAGACTAGAGTAATTACATGCAGGAGAACCATTTGTAAGAAGTTTTACAAATTTTTTCCGAGATAAATATCGAACTAAAATTAAAATATCTACCTAATAACATGTATGATACGAAATAAATAACTTTCTCGATTTGAAATTACCATTCTTTTTCTTCTTCTTCAAAAAAAAAAAAAAAAAAAAAAAAAAACGCGAAACTGCGCCAAAGCGGTTGCAATAATACCAAAGTAACAATTATATCTTATAATACATTTATAAAATTCTGCAGAAGAAAAATAACGAAAAAAATATTAAAATATTCGAGGAGGAATGTAAGTATTTTTAATGTATGACATAATCCTTATTTCATAATTCAAATTCGTATTTTAAGTTGCTAAAGTATGTTTTCTTTTCCTATGCTGATATTGTTTACCAAGCTTACTATAAATATTGATAGTTTGGGACTCTTTCTAAGAAAAGAAGGTGAGAAAACCACCAAGTTGCACATGCTAAGTAATTTTTATATTTTCATCCGTACAAAATTGCCAAATACCGCCAAGATGGTTTCCATAGTACGTAAGTACCGAATCAACTAATAAACGTGACTTTTAAATGGCGGAAAGTATTCTTTCAGGTAATACGATTAAGTATCAATCATAACTGAACTTTTTATTTACTTTTATGTACATTCAAAAACAGTTAATTTTTTAAAAAAATTACTGCCCTTCAATAATTAGCTAACTAGCTATATTTAAATTTTTTTCTTATGCGAAAAACAGAAATTATCCAAAAATTAAAGGTCGTAAGCAGGAAGAGTAAACATATCTAAAAGTATGTTACACTGAAAACACGAAAGTATTAGATGTTACTTTGGATTATTAAAAGCTAAACTAAGTAATAATTAGGTAGATTAATTTAATATTGCAGCTATAAATAGTTAATTACGTTATCTTGAAATTTCTTCTGCGGTCAAAATTTTGAAAAACACTGTTCCTAATTATCGCTATTCCCCTCCCCCGAGAAGGAATTTAGCATATTTACATTGTAGTAAATTTTAAGTATTTACGCTGTTGCGAATAAGTGTTAATATTTAAAATGTTTTTTTAAATCTTAAAATTTTGCATATTTAGCTTAAATTTCATACTGCCGTAAATTTGTGCTTCTATTATGCATATTTACGTGTATAAACGTTTTAGTTCATGAAATTTAATGTATTTAACCGTCTGCATCTTATAAATAATTTCAGTAAAATCATTTACATAATGAAAATAGCTCGAATAAAGCTAAAAATGTCTCCTCTCGAAATTTACCACATTAACAGGCATATGCAGTTGGCAAAATATCGCTTTATTTATCAACTTTTGGCTATTTCTCGAATTTTCGATTCGAAGCTCCTACACTCTAATTTTCTTCCTCCTTTCCTTCTAATTACACCTTCTTGGTATAATTAGAAGTACGCTTGACGTGCATTCGGGAGGTCCGGAGTTCGAATCCCGGCAAAGGGCATCGCGGTTTTCTTTAGTTTCCTAAAATCGAAAAATTCTAAATGACTCTAGAAGTGACGCCCAAACTAAACGATAGTGGATGATAATTCGTCACCCCCAAGGCTTGGTGACTGGGTCCCCTATTCCCAAGTTGTTCTTTAAAAGCGATATAGGTATATAAGGTACTTTGTCCCTCATTTCCACATGCCTTCATAGTGTACATGGAATCCTACTCAACACTGTTCGGGAGGTCTGGAGTTCGAATCCTGGAGAGCGCATTGCTGATTTCCTCAGTTTCTTGGCATACATGTAATCTCTACTCTTTGGCAACTACGGGAAATTTCTGAAAGTCCTTTCGTTTCCAAAACAATGCTATATAATATATCAATGATACTAACGTATTAACGCAACCACCTTAGTTATAGTCGACAAATTTTCAGAATGTGCCAAACTCTGGCAACCACGCGCATTCTTCCGGCAACCATGCTCATAACAATCCTTCAGTTAAGTAGCGCGACCATTTTCGTATGCATGTTTCTTTTCTTTTCTTTTCTTTTTTTTTTTTTTTTTTCTTTTTTATTTATTTATTTATTTATTGGTATTCCAAGTTCCAACGATTTTTAAAAACAAACCGCAATTTCCACCCCCTTAAGTTTAGTTCTAAAATATAAGCTTATAGAATTTGCTAGCAATGGAAGAAACTGCGGTAAAATTTCTGCAGGAAAGCGGAATTTTGCTGAAAATTTTCTAAAGGGTATGCGAGAAAATGCGTGCTAGCAACCTCCGATTATCACTTTTATCTCTCTTTGCAAAATTTTATAAAGGGAAAAGAAATCCAGAACTGAATTTTTGCAGAACTGAGACGCAGCCAAGCGCTATTTGAGTTCTTTGTCTCTAAGGGCATGACATTTTTCAAACATGGTATTTACAAATTACCATCACGCTGGCAAGAAGCTATTAATGACGACGGAATATTTCTATGTATATTATTTTCTTTCACTTCCTAAATGCACAGAATTCTGAAGTTAGACGTTATATACAACGAAATATTTTAGAAAAAAGTAACTTCTTATTTACAACCTACGCTTTCTTTACATGAGAACCCAATATTTTATTTATATTGGATAAACATTGGTTTTAATGGAATAACAAACATAAAAAATACGCTGTTGTAATAAAACATAAAAAAGGTACTTATTCATTGGCAGCGGGAATAAAGAGGTCCCGAATGTGTCAACATATCCCAGCCATTTAGCTGTGCTCCATCGTTACTTTCAGCCCATACTTCTCAACTAATGACCAACGCAGTCGAGTATCTTACTCACTTTATGAATGTAGAGGCCGGAAAGAAAAAAAAAATAAACTGTCACATTCCGTCGTCACGAAAAACGAGAAAAGACCATCACGGGGGCCACTAAATGTCACCTACTACTCACCCGTGGAACACAAATGGGAAAAATTCTACAAAAATAAATATTAAGCAAAACTTGTATGGAAAAGACACAGAAGAGATAATTCGGGGCCCCAATAAACGGGCCCATATTAAAGTTTTTTCTTTTTTTTTTTTTTTACATCTGTATGCCATATCGTCTGGCTTTACGGCTAGGGACAGACATACGCACAACAAGTGTAAGTTATAACACATGTAGCGGTTTTTACGAGTGTGGCTGGGAGTCTAAAAACAGCGCTGCCTCCTTAACGGCTTCATTAAGCGAACGGCCACACTTTCGTTCTATTTTTGCCCACCCCCAACATACACCTTGATTTTTTTTTTTTTTTTTTTTTGATTTTTTTTTACTTCTGCCCTCCCCAGAAGCATGTATATGTAGCGCGAAATGTGTTTGTTTGAATAGAGGGAGAGGCGAGCACAAATTAAGTCATATTTTCTCAGCGAACGCCAGAAACTCGCTTTAACTGTACTGAAAAGAAAAGGGATGCTTAAGGTTTTCCCCAGTTTGTAGCAAAATGCAGTC